AAGTAGCGCCTAAACCAAAACTATGTTTGTCATATCCCAGCCCCTCCCCCCCCCTCCCCCACGTGGCACAGCGGTATGTCCATGGACTTACAACGCTAAAAAGTGGGTTTCGATACCCGTGGTGGGTAGATCACATATAGCCCATTTTGTAGCTTTGTGACTGATTTCAAACAAACAAACATATCCCAGCCGGCCTTATGAATCTTGGTATTGACGAAAGGCACTGGATATGACAGACGTAGTTTGGCTGACATATTATAACATATTCTTCTGTGCTTTCGGTCATAAGTTCTTAGAATCATTCCTGTAATTCTTGTACGTTAATAATTTTCTTCTGTTACTTATGAAGTACAAGTGATGTAGCAGTTAAAATATTTCATTTTTTACGTTTGTGGTCAACAGTAAATAACCCATCCAAACATAATTTGTGATGTTACCAGAAAAACCATCCTTTTTTTTTCAGACATGACTCGTTGTTGCCCAAACTATGCGAAGAGCGAGAATTACGAGGAGCACCTTGGTTTCAAGCTGGTATACCGAGGTGAGTAGTGACCATTATGATGTCATACCTACAACAAACTGGACATGGTTTATCACTTCATAGAAAGTGTGGTTTCTGTACTCTGTACCGGACTTTCAAAAGAAATTGTTTTCAATGTTATTGTTTAAACACCGAAAGTTGTCAAGGTGTAGGTATAACACTTCAGATCTGTCTCTTGGCCTACACCTGGGTAGAGACGTGAAGGAGAAATAGTACTTCAGATCTGTCTTTTGTCTTCTTCTGTTTTAGTCGTTTAGACCTGTTGGAACGCAAACTGTGGAGGTTCTTCAAGGGGGAGGGGCGTAAAGTCGGTAGGAGGCGCGCAGCTATTACTATAGCAGCATATAAATGATATATGAAAATACAAATTTAAGAACATTTTTTTAAAAACTACCGTACAAATATTACAACTATTAAGTAATACAATCAAAACAATCAACCTATGAAAATAACATGTACGGTATATAGTGTTAACACCACCGGTTTACACCATGTCCGTATATAGTGTTAACACCACCGGTTTACACCATGTCCGTATATAGTGTTAACACCACCGGTTTACACCATGTCCGTATATAGTGTTTAACACCACCGGTTTACACCATGTCCGTATATAGTGTTTAACACCACCGGTTTACACCATGTCCGTATATAGTGTTTAACACCACCGGTTTACACCATGTCCGTATATAGTGTTAACACCACCGGTTTACACCATGTCCGTATATAGTGTTAACACCACCGGTTTACACCATGTCCGTATACAGTGTTAACACCACCGGTTTACACCATGTCCGTATATCAGTGTTAACACCACCGGTTTACACCATGTCCGTATATAGTGTTAACACCACCGGTTTACACCATGTCCGTATACAGTGTTAACACCACCTGAAATACACGATTCAGAATGCTATTAATGAACAAATAAAATATATTTTCACAACCAGACCGACATTATTATGAGAGCGTACCTTCTTTTCTAACCTTTATTATCTTTCTTTGTGTCGGGAAACTGACAGTAATAATAATATTCTACTTTTGTTCTCACTATTCAGTAACTGCGAGCGTTGTTAGTGTTTCTAAAAGTTAAATAATTAATTCAGGGCCATTATTTATCTTCTTTCGGTAATACAAGCACGTTATTGTCCTTGCAAAGCTAAGCCTACTTTTTTTTTTAAATACAGAAATACCACTAACGTGTGTAGGCTATGTACTTGATAATTTATTTGTTGAAGCTAATTAGACCAGTGAAGTTACTTTTTTGATTTTGTTATTTCAGAGAAATAGCATTGGAGATTTTAAGCCAAGAACCAGTGGGGACCTTTATGGTTCGAGAGAGTACAAGTAAACCAGGCTGCTACGCGCTGTCGTTGAGAGTACCGCGAGAATTCCAGCTATCGGGTATTGCCCACTACCTCATCATGCGGACTCACAGGGGCTATAAAATAAAGGTGAGGTCATTATGTTTGACACCTTTCATTCTTTACTTGTAAGCATGGTTAAAAGTTCTGTTTGCAGTCAAAATAAAATACCGCCAGTAGAGTAAATACAACCTTCCCTATTATTTCCACCAAGCTTCCCAATAGCTCAATTGTAAGTCTGAGGGCTTAAAACGCTACAATTTTGGTTTCGATACCCGTGGTGACCAAAGCCCATATAACTCATTTTATATCTTTGCGCCGCCCTAACAACAAGTTTCCGCCAATCAAAAGTACTGTTTTTCATTACCAGTTTTGCATAAAACACACCATTGATAATTGGTCTGCATGCTTTAATAATTGCTCACAACAGTTTTAGCAAATATCAAACAGAACTTACACGAGTTTGCCAAGAAGCTACCAGTTGAAATACAACAAAAACAAAACATCACCCAATAAATCCCCCCACCCCCGTTACCTAGGCGATAACCTTGATCCAGTATAATGCTAAACTGTTGACTCTGAGTGGTGGATCGTGTTGATCTATGCGGTGGATCGCCCAATGTGTGCAGTTTTGTGTTTAAACAAAAACAAACAGTTGCTAAAAATAAATAAGGAACCCATAATACGGAAGGATAAGTTAGTAGCATCGGCGATACGAAATGTAGGTTCCCTCTGGTGAGTAAAGTATAACTAAAAACACCACATGTATAAACAAACGATTACTTTAAAAGCCTTCATAAAATATTAATGAATCTCTAGCACTATCACTTCACCAAATTAATATTAATGATGAAAATCACGTAAACGGCAGATATTTTATTTCCCATTTATCCACAAATGTTTCTATTTGGATTCAGAATCACATTTGTTGTAAAAATAGCTTTTCATATCAGTATTTCGTCTACCAAAAAAAAAAAAAAATACTTTCGGCGTTTAAACCACAAGTTTTAAATAACTGTGCGCCATCTATCGTATTCATCAGCAGAGGTGTATGTAAAAATAGCTTTTCAGATCTGTCTTTCTTCTCCCATGTGACAACATCTTTAGACACTTAAACCACAAGTTTTAAATGTATATTTACTTTGTGCTTATAGCACCATCTTTTGTAATTTTCTTCAAACTAATTTGGTGTTTTATTTATTGTAATTAATAAAAAAAATATATATTTCGTAAACGTATTTTCAATTAAATTCAGCGATTA